ATAAATCAATAAATGTAATACACCATAGCAACAGAACCAAAGACAAAAATCAAATGATCATCTCAATAAATGCAGAAAAAAGCATTTGACACCCAATCATGATTTTAAAAAACCTACAGAAATTTGGAATAGATGGTCTTTATCTCAATCTGATCAAAGCTATCTATGACAAACCAACAGCCAACATCATAATAAACGATCAAAAACTGAAAAGCTTTCCCTCTAAAGGCAGGAATAAGACAACAATGTCCACTATCACCACTCCTATTCAACAGAGTTTTGAAAACATTAGCCAGAGCAATTAGATAAGAAAATCAAATAAAAGAAGTAACAATAGGAAATGAAGAAGTTAAATTATCATTATTTGAAGATATGATACTTTACATAGAAGACCCCAAAACCTCCACCAAAACACTTCTAGATTTAATAACCAAATTTAGTATCATAGCTGGCTACAAAGTCAACACTCAAAAATCAATAGCACTCCTGTAACAAACAACAAACACATTGAGAGAGAAATTCGGGAAACAACACCTTTCACAGTAGCATCCAAAAAAAAAATGAAATACTTAGGAAAGAAATTTAACAAAGGAAGTAAAGGATCTATACAATGAAATTTACAATAATCTGAATAAGATGACTGAAAATGGCCATACTCCCAAAATTGTTATACAGATTTACTGCAATCTCCATCAAAATACCATTAGCATACCTCACAAAAATAGAGAAAACATTCCTAAAATTCATTTGGAACCAGAAGAGGTCTGGAATAGCAAAAACAATTCTAGGTAACAAAGGCAAGTCAGGGGGCATCACAATCTCTGATTTGAAATTATGCTACAAAGCTACTGTGAAAAAAACAACATGGTACTGGCAAAAAAACAGGCCTGAGAATCAGGGGAACAGATTAGAAGATGCAGAAACAACTCCAAACACACTCAGCCACCTTATATTTGACAAAAGGGTCAAACACGTTCACTGGAAGAAAGACAGCCTCTTTAATACACGGTGCTGGAAAAACTGGTACTCCAAATGCTGAAGACTAAAACTAGATCCTTGTCTCTCACCAGGCACTAAATTAAAATCAAAATGGATCAAAGACCTAAATATTAAAACAGAAACACTAAATCTGCTGGAAGAGAAAATAGGTAGAACTCTTGAAGACACAGGTGTAGGCAAAGATTTCATGAACAAAATCCCAATCACATGGAAAATATTACAAAGAATCAAGAACTGAGATCACCTTATCCTATTAAAAAGCTTTTGCACAGTGAAAGAAATCACCAGTAGATGGAAAAGACAACCTACAGAGTGGGAAAAAAATTTAGCAAGTTGTCCCTCAGACAAAGGACTAGTATCTAGAATATACAAAGAATTGAAAAAAAAAATAGAGCCCCTCAAATTTAAAGACCCAACCCAAAAATGGGTATCTGAAATGAAACACACTTTTCAGATGAATAAATATAAATTGTAAATAAATATATGAAAAAATGTCCAATACCACTCATTTAAGAGATGTAAATTAAAACAACACCGAGACTCCATCTCACCCAAGAAATAATTGCTATTATGAAGAAATCAACCAATAACAAATGCTGGCGAGGCTGTGGGGAAAAAGGAACCCTTCTCCTCTGTTGGTGAGAGTATAGACTGGTGCAACCACTATGAAAATTAGTGTTGAGATTCCTCAAAAGGCTAAGATTAGAAGTGACATTTGACCCAGCTATTCTCAATCTGGGTGCCTTCCTGGAAGAATTAAAATCATCATACCATAGTGATGTATGTACATCCATGTTTGTAAAGCTAATCTTGGAAACAACCCAAATGCCCATCAACCGAGGAGTGGTTAAAAAAGATGTATGTTTTTATTGTTATTATTACAATGGGGTACTACTGAGTCATAAAAGAGGATAAACTTGAGATATTTCTAGGTAAATAGGTGTATCTTCAGGCCATACTTTTAAGTGTATAAATCAGACACATATGTGTAATTATAGCATTGTCTCCCTGATGTGAGAAACTGAAAGAGTATATAAGGACCAAAATGTAAAATAGATATTGTGAAACAGAAAGAATTTTTTCAAAAGGGAAGAGGAACTAGGGATGGGGGAGGGGGAAAGAAAGGAGTGGAAAAGAAAAAATGATAAAAGGACAAAGTGGAAACAAAGGGAGGGGAAGAAGGGTTGAAGGGAGGGGAGGGAATTGGGAAAAATGATGAATCAAGATAAATCATGTACAGGTACAAAATCTCTATGATAAATGTGATGACTATGTATTACTAAACTGTACCAATAAACTTAATTAAAAAATATATTTTTGGGGGGCTGGGCATGGTGGTATACACCTGTAATCCCAGCACTTGGGAAGTTGAGGTAGAAGAATCACCATAACATCAAGGCTAGCATGAACTACACAGTAAGACCCTGTCTCAAAAAAAAAACATTGTTTTGAGGAAGTTATCCTACAGAAAAAATACTTACCATAATAAAATGATGGATGATAGATAGGTAGATGGATGGATGGATGGATGGATGGATGGATGGATAGTTCACATATTTGTTTTGGAGAGAGTAAAAAACAAAAAACATACTGGTCTGAATGTTGCTCAATGGAAAAATAAGTATCTGTTGTGTATGTGCATACATATATATGTGTGTATATGTGTGTACATATATATATACAAATGTTCCTATACATTTATATATGGAATACTGTGTACTTATTAAAAGATTAAGATTTATAAACTAAGATCTACAGTGTAAATTTAGACAATGAAGTAGTAGACTAACATAGTACAAAGTTAGTGTGACTGTTTTATTAAAAACGCAACAATGGGGGTGGGGATTTAGCTCAGCAGCAAAAGCGCCTGCCTCGCAAGCGCAAGGTCATGAGTTCGGTTCCTGGTACCGGAGGAAAAAACCAAAAAAAAAAAAAAAAAACGCACCAGTAATAATGCTAGATGTAACTGTGTGCTTCCATGATTATGAAGAAAGGTATGAAGGGCTGTGTAGTAGCCTCTAAGGCTGGTTACCTTATCATTAAAACTTCTGTAGCTACTTGGCATGTAAAGTACTCTGTCACATAAAGTTTTTGTTTTTTTTTTCCAGTACCGGGAATCGAACTCACAACTTCATGCTTGCCAGGTTGGCGCTGTGCTGCTGAGCTAAATCCCCAGCCCTGTCACATAAAGTTTTAATAAATACTGGTGGGAAGAGGAATTCATTACCTTGTTTAGAAATGTGTTGCTGGGCAGGAAGGGAGAATTATTGGTGCTTTTATAACCTATTTTTTCATTGGTTATGATAAACATGTATTACTTTTATAATCTTTCAAGAAGTATGTATTTTCAGCACCACAGTGAATGCAAACATCTCACAGAAATGTGTAAAGCTATGGCACCTTTATTCTGATACATTATTCAGCTCAGTCTTTTTTTTGTTTGTTTGGTTGTTTTTTTGGTTTTTCTCTGGTACCGGGAACCGAACTCACGACCTTGCGCTTGCCAGGCAGGCACTTTGCCACTGAGCTAAATCCCCAGCCCTCTGATACGTTATTCACATTCAGTTTCCCCTCTTAACAGCACCCTCTCTTGTCTATTGGAAAAGCTATTTTTAAAACAACATTCTTAGCTGAAGAACACAGATCCATGGCAGACAGAGGCTACACACAAAAGTAAGATCAGCCAGAGAGAAGAATTATACTTCTGCAACAGCACACAGGCTTGGTATCTGCCATTTTTACACCAGAGTCCAAATAACAAATCTGCTGGATGAATGTCTGGAGTACTGGACTCATGCCATTTGCTTCCACTGGACTATAAGCTGGGAGACAATAAATTCTTTTAAATATCTATTAATGCTTCTAATTTCAGAGAAAGATTCTATGTTATTCTGAATGTCATCTGAATGTGAGGTAAAAGCCACCTGTACAGAGTGGTTGTAAAAAAAAATAAGCCAATGGACAAGCTAACAAGACTAAAGAAAGCCACAGAGAGCAGACAAGTCTGCATGAAAGATGCTTATTTTCTGTGAAACTATATGTTATTAAGACAGCAAGGACCCAAAATGGATATAGAAATATGATGTTGTTGCTTGGATCTAAATACAGTTTCAGTTTCCTTAGAAATCCAAACTGGGGCCGGGGATTCAGCTCAGTGGCACAGCGCCTGCCTGGCGAGCGTGAGGTCCTGAGTTCAATGCCTGGTGCCCAAAAAATAAAAATGGAAATAGAAATCCACACTGACATCTGTGCATGTAATCAGATGCACTCACACACTACAGTGTCATGAACAGTGCACTGTTAGTTCAGCCCTCGCTAATGTGTGTGCGGAAAATGGACAGGTACCACCCCATGAGTGTAGGGTCACAGTGTTTAGAACAAGGTGGTTTCTTGAAAGTGGGAAATTTATTGATTGATTGATATTCTGCAACTGTCTCTATAGCTAACATTTCAGCTTCAGAGAGAAACATCTTCCAGAAAGCACAGGACAGATAAGGTGACTCAGGAAATGTTAAAAGGCAGGCAAGAAAAGAAACAGTTTAAGTCAAGGGTTATGTATATCTAAATATTCTTTTTTTCTTTCTTTCTTTTCTTCTTTTTTTTTGCTGGGAATCGAACTCATGACTTCATGCCTTGCCAGGCAAGTGCTGTGCCACTGAGCTATATCACAAGCCCCTAAATTTTCTATGTGACCTAGAATTTATTTTCTGGAACTCATATTATACATAAGCTTCCCAGAGAAATAAAGGTCATTTTCTCCTTGCCCACCGCACAAGATCACCAGTGATAATCCGAACTACTGCCCTGTCTAGGTCACCGCCTACACCCCCATTCCTTGATTCACCCTGAACTCTTTGGAGATGAGAACAGGCAACCTGGGCAACATTCACCTCTACTAGAGGCTCACTAACAGAGCTTAAAGAGAACTTCAGTGAACAAAATAGGAAATCCCTGAGGTCTCCCCAGTCTGTCTCCGGAGAGAGGAGCAAAGAGGGAGGTACCCTGCAAATCTCCACTCTGTTGGCAGCCTCCTCCATCTCTTCCCTGAGGGCATCAGCTTTGGCACCCGCAGGCTGTAAGCTGCTGGACAGACCTGAAGACTTGGAAGTCTGCTGCCACCTGATGGAAAACAGGAGAAAAAGAGGAGAGAGGTGAGACAGGCAGAGCCCTGGGGAGTTCCCAGGGAGGCTGGGGAAACACCTGGCTACAAACACCACCCAGCAAACGCTGTGCTCTGACTAGAAAGGAGAGGAGACGCAACAGTACCAAGTATGTCACCAGGAGAATGGGGCTCCCATTTCCACACTAGGACTGGTGAACGGAGCTGAGCCTCCATTGCCCCTCCAGAGAACAAGCCTCCCTCAACATGCCACCACTCCCCTACGCTCATTGCAACGTGGGGGGCAGCCCACGCTCACTGTCTGACTAGTGCTGTCTTTTTTGTTTTAGTTAATATTATTTTTCATTGGCAAATTATGACTGTTCATTTACAGGGCACAACGTGATCCGCTGATACATGTATATCATGTGGGGTGATTAAAACAAGCTATTTAGCACATCCATCACCTACATTTTCTTTGGTGCTGAGGATCAAATACAGGGCCTTGTGTATGTAGGCGAGTGCTCTACCACCACTAAGCCATACCTCCTCGCAACTCACTTATCTTTCGTTGTGAGACCTATGAGATTTAATCAGGCTGACTGTCCTTAAAAATAATATATTATCTATTTCAAAATAACTATCACTGTCTTTAAACACAGTCTCTGACATTTACATTCCCTATGGGCATCTGAGCTTGGAAATTCACTGACTTGGCTAAAGCCAATAATGTAAATTGAGCAGGAAGATATACCAGTAAGATTAAAAGCAAACCTGAAAGCCAAAATCTCTACTGATAAACACACAAAAAACTGTATAAACATTTAGATACCTCACTTATATTTCCTGAAAATGTGTCTTTGAGGAGAGAATACTGGCTTCTGAAAAAGCCTCTCGGAAAACATTCAGGGGGATCTATCAGTACTCCTGGTTGCTATGACCTTTTCAGGAGTTACCAGGAGCAAGACACAAAAGAAGTATCCTTCTATCTAGAACATATAAAGAATTAAAAAATTTCAGCCCCTCCAAATTCAAAGACCCAATCCAAAAATGGGC